AATTAATTTTGAGAACATTTTCTCCAAATTTATGATGAAACTACACAAACTTGTCAATTAATTTCCTAGACGAATTTGATTTAAGTAAAAAATTCTTGACTTGCAAAAAAAAAAATGAAAATGAAAGGGTGATAAAAATCAAATTTGAATTCAAAAGTTGGTTGCTAATGATTCCTTGTTGATCTTTTTTAACAGTAGTGGGCCAAATATAAAAGTGTGTTTCTATTGTAATAACATTTTTTCTGCATTTAAAAATGAAATTGGTGAAACAATTGGGAACTTTCCGAATTCACTTGGCATTGTTGGCGAAAATTTTAAACGCTAATGGAGAATTTCGATCGTCGTGAAAATTGGGCCAAGATGATGGACGACTTGGCTGAGCGCATGGGTCGCCTGACCCTGGAGGAGTCGAGGCCGCAAGTCCACTGGCAAATGGACGAGGAAGTCCAGGCGATGGAGATTGAAGTTGGAAAGTTCCAAGAAAAGGAAGGCCTGCGACCTATAATGAAGGCGAAAAGGGTCGGAAAGTAGCAGCCCTTATTAAATTCAAAATTCTCTTAATTTTTTAACTGAATATTTTATTTATCTTCTTTCCAGAGGGGTTTTGTGAAGACTGATATTGTTACATTTTATTCAGTAAAAAATTGAAATCAGATATTATTAAAATAATCTCCTTTTTTAATTTAATTAAAATTGGCCTCGTTTATTCCGACTAAGTTGGAATAATTCTGCAGCGACAAATTGCTTCGAGTGAAAGATATGCTTGTGAAAAGTGGCTTTCCCACTTCACTCTCAATTGATCTTTGATGTTGAAAATTTGTGAAGGGGTGACTGTGATGAAAAAGCTCTCGAGTCGGAGCAATTAAGAGCGGCACAATAAAATTCCCGGCCGAACAAACGGGCCGGAAAAGTCGGTCCGAATCTGGCGGCGGCGGCCAACGCACGCAGCAATAATCAAAGTTGGATAACTGGAGGCTGTTATGCTGCAGCCGAGCATAGGCCCCTGCAAATGTAACTCTTGCTGAGCAAACATGGGCCGTGTGTATGCGCTGGGCTTTGCTCGGTCAAACACTCATAAAAGCGTCCGTTCGTTCGTTCAGACCCAAACTTGGCAGCCCGGCGATGTAATTACTCGTCGGCCGCCGTAAGCCACCTACTTTTAATAATAATAATATCAAACTGCCTCGCTCGCTCGCTCGCTCGCAACGCCCTTTCTTCCGAAATCCCTTTCTTATTAATATAATGCCAAAGTTGCCCAACTTCTGTAATTATACTTGCGCATAATTAATTTGATCTTCCATTTTTATATTTTATCGATTAAATATGTTAAATATTTCATAGATTTTGTGACAGGAAAGTTTTTTTGCGGGAAGATTATTTTTAATTGATCGAAATTGGATTTTCTGTTATTTATCAGGAATCCATGTTTTTCATTTGCCGTAAGTTCAATAGTACGAAATTTTTTCAGCATTCATATTATTGTAACGCATTGTAACGGTTGGGTAAACGTAAAATTTATTAAGTATAAGCAAATTTTGATAATTTTATTTTTCATGACAAAAATCACAAACTGGTCATTTTTTAGGCTTTAAGTAAATAGATGATAGTAGGCAGAATTTTAAGCGTTTGATGAGCAAAGTATCACCTTTGTAAGTTTTATATGGAGTGAGTCTTACTTAAATTAACCTTCGCCGTTTAGTACGCAATGTTTTGTCCTTTCAGTAATTAGAAATATTTTCTTAATAGAACGATTTTTATCTATAAATTTGCAAGGAAAACTTTATTTTGTTTCAAAATCATAGTCCTTCACATGAATAAAACTATTCATTTTTTGTATTTTTTTTAATAAGTTATTCATTCACCTAAATGCACCTATATTGCATTTTAATTTTTACATTACATTTGACATTATAAATTTTCATCTCATTCTATCTGCTTTTAAATCTACACAATTAAAATTGCAACAAATGAATAAAAGAAAAGCGGTGACAAATTATGATAAAAATTCAGAAATTGTGAGCATATTATTTTGAGTGGTGCGTCGGCTGGCTTCGGAATTTCGAATAAAAATTCAGAAGACGCAATATATTGAATTCGTCGCCTGCAGATTTGAATTTGCTTCTTTTGAAGTGGCGAGAAATTAGAATTGCATGACATCGCTGATCTGCTGGAGGAGCGGCTAGGGAGGCCGGAATAAGAAGCAGGTGCGCGCCAAGATCAATGTTTCCATCCGACGCAGGTTAATTACACGTGGCTTTGTGGCCCGTGCAGATATGCAGCAGCACGCAAATTAAATCCGGCACCAAAGACCCTCGCAAAAAGGCCCATCAATTACGAGCGCGCCTCAACAAACACTTCCGCATTTCCGCTTCACCAGCACAATCCATTTTATTTCCAAATTCTCACTTTTCCCGCAGAGTTTTCTTCTCATTCAAATCGAAACAAAACTTCATATCATAATTGTACAGTTTCAATACATACTACAATATTATTATATTACATAATTTATTTTTATTATTCTACAGTTTAATTAATTGTTATTAAAAATTTTAATAATACCATTTGTCTTAAAATTATCAAAATAAAATTAAAAAATAATGACATCATTGTTGATAAATAAATATAATGTTTAAAAATGTTCTTTAATGAAATATAAAATTCAAGAAAAACATCTAATTATAAAATAAAAGTTTGTTTTTGTTTTGAAATTTGATTATTATCAATTTGATATTTCAAAGAAATAAATTACTTTGAGAACTTTAAAAAATTCCAATTGTAAACATGATCTCGTTGAAAGCAAAACGACTATTGCAGATGAAGGGCGACTGATTTGCAACTTTAGGAATTGAATGCATTGATACATAAAAATAATCATCTTTTCTCTTTGGTGATAATGATTTTTTTTCACCTTATTTTTTTTACACTTTATTTGTGAAGAATATAAATAATAATGATTGGCAAAATTTTGAAGGTTTTTTCTTGTGATAATTGAAGTGGTAAAGAGAAAAAAATTATAAATAAATAATTATTTTTATTTTCTGTCGCATAGTTTCGTTCTGTATTACAATTACTTTCAATTTAATCTAAATTATTTAAGACATTTCAAATTGGATCAAGTCTGATTTTTCCTTAATCATTGCTAATTTTTGTTCTCATTGCAGAATGAAGTGGTTGCGGATATTGATCCCCACGCTTTCGTATAATGCGATGTTATTTACAAAGTTGCGCTGGCCGCACTCGAAAGTGGAATAAAACAAGGCCGCGCATCATAAAAGTTGAGCGAGAGAGGATAAATATTTAAAAGTGCAAAGTTTGCTCGGACGGAAAATGGGCGCTGTTTGACTTTGCAACGAGGGCCATCCAAATTGCGCCGCAAATCGCCTTTCGAATTTTTTGTGTTTAAATTTTTATTTCGAGTCCCGCGAGGCCGATAAATGCAGCGCGCCTGATTTAATTAAACAAAGTCGGCGCCGCGCAGCTTGTTTGGATTGCTCTCGGAGCAAATCTTTGGCGAAACTTTGCGCGAGTTTGCCGAGCGCGAAACCGCAAAAATAATTTCACACACGCCGCCCTCCTGAGGGATTACGCGCCGTTTTCAGAATAAACAAGCTCCGAGAGATTCAATTAGCACCGCCCTTCTTGATCCAATTATTAAACAAAACCAACTGCGCCGCCACTCTTTCGATTTGTAAGGAACAATTCAACAGAAATTTATGTATTCACTGGGTTTTGCGCGTGACCTGTGGCGGTCGACGCTCTGTGCTCTTGACAGGTGTCTCGTTCTGACGAAATTGGATGACGGAGAGTTTGCTGCAAACTGCAAACTCGCCGCCGACAACTTTTGATAAGATTTTCTTTTATTGTTTTTCTTATTGTCCGCGTTCCTGCTTCCGCACAACTTTGACACAAAAGGGTACAAAACAAAGTACAACTTTGGAAATTCAAAGATTGCTAGTAATTTAATTTTGATTGCTATTCATTTTGATGAAATTGATTTCAGTTGCATTTAAAAAGAAAAATCGAAAGTTCGTTGGAAATTTATAATTATTTCAAAAAATTTACAATATTGAATCAAAATATAAGTGATGGGTTCATTCAATATAAAGGACTCCTTATTGACATAGTCAAATCAAGTCTCTACAACAATGTGGTTTGTTAAATTGCCAATAATTGCCAAAAAACGGCTTCTATTGTTCTTAATTAAATAAGATGTGACAAAAAAGTGTTAAAAAATACAATAAAAGATAAGAAATAAAATTACCAGTGAAGGCTATCGTAATAAAATTACCTATGTATTTGATATTTTTAAGCCGTTCTTTTATACAAAAAATCTTCCCATACAAAGATGAGGATTTCATTTTTGGGCGGAAAGTTGCGTGTCGTCAGCAAAGGTGCGGGGGCAAGCGAAATGGAATTCCCTGCCTGTTTATCGTCAGGTCCCTTTAGGTGGCGAACAATTTGGGTGCGCGACTATGTTTGTGGTCATTTCTCGAGACGCTCGACCCGAGGGAGCGGTAGCGGCAAATGACGCGGCGCAACCCTCGCCCCCTCCCCCGCACGACAGTCCGAGAGGGTGAAACAACTTTTTACGAGGCTCCACTCGATTTGGCGTGTTTATGCACCTCGCCCTCCCAGAGAAGAAGACGCGGCGCTTATTTATTTTTAAGATTTGTCAGCGACCGAAACACTAAAATTTACTGCCCTCGCGGTGATGATCCTTGCAAATAAAAAGCACATGGGGCGCACGGACGCTTTCCCTTTTGGTTGTTTTCCAACATGGAAAATAAGACAATTCACTTTTTTATTCATTTTCCCGCAGAAGCGAGTAAATTAATTTAATTTGTTGAAATATAGCATCAGTGAAAAGGATTGCAACAACTCAGGATTGCAAAATCATTATATTTAAAGCTGTTTTAGTATAAACCAAAAGGACCATTTCGGATCATTTTAGCTGCCGGAAAATTGGGGGTCGACATATATTTGAGGCATATTTAGAGAGCTTTTGTAAAAAAAAAAAACTGCATTACTAAAACGTGTAGAGTGATCAATTTGATTATTAAATATTTCTCTTAGCAACCAAATTGGACCGCGAAACTGATTGTCCAGGCAAACCAGTCACTCCGAGCCCCGAAACCCTGAAAACGCTTCCTGCGTCAGGTTGCTGCTGCTGCTGCTCAGGGGTCAGATCTCTTTTTGAAGTGGACACGTAGAGGTCGTCCAGGTTGTCCCCGCCCCACGCAACAGAGGTTGTATACTGCACGGGCAGAGACACCTCGCTGACCACCTGACCCTGGGAAGGGTCCACCCTGAGCACCTTCCACCCACTCCAACAGGCGACCCAGAGCAAGTCTTCGGCGTCGATGGCCATTCCGTCCGGAGTGCAGGACACGTTTTGGGCCCCAAAATCGATCACCGTCCTCCGATTTTCTGCTCTTTCCAATTTAAAAGTTTCAATTAATTTCGTTTTTAAATATTTTAAACTTGCCAATAGCAGCGGTCGTTACGTTGAAGTCGAAAGCGTCCACGCGTCCGGTGCCAGTGTCCACGTAGTACATGGTGGATTTTGCGGAATTCCAAGCCAATCCATTGCTGATGTCCACCGGTGAAACTTTGGCTGAAGGACCATCTTGTTCCAAAAGGTACAGGGCGCCCTGGCCAGGTGTGACTCCTACGCCAGGGTCTTCAGGACCCATTGTTCCTTGATAGAAAATTTTTGTTATAAAATTTCAATAAATTTCTTATTTATTTCGATAATCACCTCTAAAATGATAACACAAGTTCATATTGTGTAATTTTTATTATCTGCAGGTAAATATGAACAAAAAATGAAGTATGCTCAGAAAAATAAAATTAAACGTACTTTGCGATTGAATGAAATTATAGGTGGGGGAAATTAAGCTGGGAAGGCTGACACAATAATCTCCTAATACTTAAATACAAATCTTGGAATTTTATTTCATAATTTTTAATAAAATATTTTGGAACATGATTGGAAAAAATTATGCATATTAAAAATTACTCAAATCTAACAATTTTTTCTTCTTTTAAAACCTTATGTTTTAAGTGCTTTCCTTGATATTTATATTTTTAATTTATTCAATTAAATATTATTTCCTGCGGCAAGGAAAACTATTCAGATATAAAGTTGAAAGTATGTGAAGGGGATTGAATAGGATGTCGATAAAATATTAGTTACTAATTTGAAAGAATTATTAAGGGAAATTAAAAAGAAATAAAAAAATTGGCTTCAAAAATTTAAAATCAGGCTAGAAAACGTCACAAATAAAAAATACCTTATTGAGTGTTTAATTTTTCAAATTTTAAAGTTAAGTGAATATTATTGCGGCTCTGATGGTATGAAATCAAAATGATTTGAAAATTTTGAATATTAACCTGCCCATAGTCGTCCTGCAGGGTCAGCTTTTCCGTCGTTGAAACGATTTCCGGGTTTGCCTTGGTCAGCGAATCCAAAGCTGGCCACCACCTGTCCACTCTCGGTGTCAAACTCGACCAGCTCGAGTCCTCTGGTGACCAAAATTCTGCCCGGGGCGCCTTCCAAGGGCACCGCCAGCGTGACCGCCGCGTCTCCAGGAGGAATTGTCCACTTGGTGACGTTGCCCGAGGTCGTGTCCAGCCGCTGAAGAGAGTTGCTGCTGATGTCGACGTAGAAGAGGAAGGGCGCCTGCCAGTGAGGACCCTCGGCGTGCACCGCCGGCGAGGTCACCGCCTCCACAGTCACCGCGCGACCTCCGAAAATTTTACGGCCGCCTCGACTGCATTTGACAGGTTTAGAATTAATGAAAATTTGGATGGCATGAGCTAAATTTCAGGTGGCCATAAATTTTTAAATAATTAAAAATTTTTATTTTTCATTGGCCCAAAGTTGCCAGAATTAATTGAAGGTTAATTGTTTTTTATATGGATTATCTCATTTGTTTTTGGTCAGAAAAATATTCCTTATATTCAGTGATACATATTTTGCGTTGGAAATTTCAACCTATACTGGTTAAATTTCAAGAAAAACTTCAATTGGTTTAAATTGTGCAAATAACACATTTTGACGGTTTCAGATCTTGTAGTAAAAATTTGTTCCAAGTTTGTAAAATATCACGGTAGTACTTTTTAATATTGGTGAATATTTGTGTGGAGATTGGAGATTATAATTTGCTTAAGGCGAAACTGCTTTCACTACTTCTTGTTAAAAGGCTTGGTTCTGCATTTTTTGATCACGTCAATCAGAAAGTTGATTATTTGATTTAGAGTGGAAATTATTTTAAATCATTTTAGTCATATTTTACTGTTTTAATAAATTAGAATAAAAATTCTCCAGTTCAAAAGTTGAATTTAATTGCAAAATATTACCTTGAGCTCTGATGCAAAGCAAGCTTATTTTCATGATTTTTTTGCGATTCCGAAGAAAAATATTTAATAAAAGTTATATAAGTTGAACGCACCTAATGACCGTGGCGGAGGCGCAGGTGAGCACCACTGCGAGCAACACCAAAACGTTCGCCGTTCTCATCTCTGCGACCAACTAACGGCGAAACTCGCGTCCTGCTCTTTTATATAATCTCAAGGCTCATTCGCTCACTCTCGCTGATAAAAAGTGGACTTGCATCAGTTAACGGTTCCGACTAGCTATGCTTTTTATCGATCGTGCTGTTGTGAAAATCTCGCCTGCCACATTGAAATAACTAGAAACACTTTGGTCTGCGAGAGGAAAATTCGCATCGCAAAATTATCTCCAAGGGTAAACCAGGCCGTCGTTCTGCGGCTAGCCAAATACTCAACAGGTCACGCGGCACGTCCGAACCCTTTCAGCACGTGCTGCGTCGCCAAAAATCACCCCGTTGATATTTCTTAAAGGAACGCTCGGAAAACTCACAGCCTTGATTTATGAAAACCAAGCTGAGTGAATAAAAAAGAAATAATAAATTAAAAATTACATTTAATGGATAAATTTTATGCATTTTAGCAGTGATAAGTTCAATGAACATTAACTATAAACTTAATATGTATTTATCATTTATTTTTAATATCAATTTTTGTGTTCATAAAAATTTTTAATACAATTTACATAATTTCTTAAATTTACTTATTTTTATCTTTATTATTTATATTGATTTCCACGTTATTAAATGCATCTATTGAGTGGGATTAAAAATTTACGGCAGCCGCAGATGAATTTAAAATTCATCCCTCTTTGCTTGGGCACTCTTCACAAAGTGCGGTGTGTTTGAATTTGAATGCGATATGGACGATAGAGCGAGGGTGCGCACGCTGCGGAGGAAATATTAGGGGATGTTATTCATTATACGCGGTCGCCGCATTGTTAACAGGCTCATTACCCAATATCAAAGAATAATGTATCGTGAGAAAAGAGAGAGAGCGGCCTTTTATTCCTACCCCTAATTAATTTCCTCTCAAGAAGAGCTGCCTCTTCTACCCCGGTCGTAGATTAACCCCTTTTTGCACACAAATTGATGGTTTAATAATTACGGCGCCAAGTGGAGCACTGAAAAGAAATTTCGCGAAAATTCATCAAACTGAAAGAGAAGAATTTTAATTCTTACTTGTAAGTTTTCAAATTGATATAATTCCTTTTGTTAATAATTCTTCTATTATTTCACGATTTTAAATTGAAAAAAGCTGTTGAAAGGGAAAGCATTGAAGAGTGGAATCTGTGTCAGTTGTTTTATTCTGAAATTTTTGAAAATATTTTGAGACACTAAAAACTATTCTTTTGTACAATAAAAAAAGATTCTAGACTCTAAATTAAATAAAAAGGAAAAAAAATGAACAATTAAATTATTAGATTAGAAAATTTTATTAAACACAACATGTGTACGACTTAACAGGAGAATAATACATTTTAAGAATAATACAATTAAATTATCGTTTTTATTTTCCTTTTTAGAATTTTCCTATTAAATTTTTTGTTTTAAAGTGAGTTATAATAATTATACTGCGTGATTAATTGGATTGAACAAAAAGTACAAAAATATAATGTGCATTTGAACTCATTTTCTTAAAAAAAAAAAAAAAAAAAAAAAAAACAGCTTTGCCTGCATAAAAAAAGACTAAAGAGAATCTTTTGCTCAAGTCTGGTGGCGATTTCCTCGAAACAAGAAAAATTTGTGTGTGACGAATGGGTTGTTGCGCTTCGCCGTTTCGCTTTTTCACGCGAAAATCGTTTATTTGTTCTCGTCGCGCGCGCGTTCAAGAAGAATTGCCAGCCATTAATCCACGACACCTTCATTTCCATGGCGGGGCCTCGCGCGTCTCATCCCCAAAAATGGCAAGCACTCGTCGTGAGAAAAGAGGCACACGCGGCGAGAAAAAGAATAAGCGCAGCCATCAAGCAAACAAGCACTTTGCTTAATTTAAAACAACTGCGCTGCCGCCGCATGTCAGCTAAATATTTCATCTGCAACTTTGTTGAAAACAACGATAAATACAAAAAACAGAACCGCCATAAGCAGGTCTGCCTGCTTCTTGCAAACACAGCAAAATAATGCAGCAATAAAGTAAAAATGTGTTTCAATTAGTTTTTCCTCTTTAATAAAACGATTCGGTTGAAACTAATCCCCGGTTATTAAATTGTAACGCAACAAATGAAATATTCAAATGCAAAATAATGCGTGAAAAGGCCTGCGCAGGCCAATATCACGGCGCGCGCAAAGATAATCCCCGCAGGGCCTAATGAAATGAATTGGGGCGCTAATGCCTCTGGTAATGGGAATTTACAATTCAAATGCACCAGGGTCAGCTGGATAACATTATGATTGACTGACTGAACGCCTCCCTCACATGCTAATTGTGAGAGAGGCAAATTCGATTTCGCCTCAGCTAAATCAAGCGGACCCGACAATGGACCCATTCAACCCGCGCACCACCTTTAACCATTCCAAATTCCCATTGTTTCTTGGCCACAAAACACAAGTGCTCATTTTAAGTTAAAAGTAGACAGACTCTGCTTTCATTTTTTTGATTAAATTCTTCAATTTTGATTTGAATGCTTAATTAGACTGAAATATAGCGAAAAAAGCAGAAAAGGCCACATATTTTTAAAATTCTGTCGACTAAAATGCGATTAAATAATTTTGGTGAAAATTTTACACAAGCGAAGAAAAATTTCATTAAAATTTACGCAGTGACCCCCAATTTTCTGGTTATCAAAATGATCCTCATGGGCTATTACAAACTTAAGTTTTAGTTCATGATTTTTTTTTGAGGTGGTTCTATTCTTTAAAATCAAAGTTCTTTCAAAATTTATAATTAATTTTCTACTGCCTAAAATTCCCAAGAAATTTCTGGTAACTTTAACTCAAACCAAAATGTTTATATTATTTCTTTATTTTTATTAATTTATTTAGGTTTATATTTTCAATTGAGGATCAATTAAATAGTTTCACACAGCAACTATCATAAAACTAGACACAATGGAATGGGTAAATGTGAAGACATTAAAAAATAAATGGTAATTAAATATTTTTGGAATGGGCTGCTACGCTTCTAATAATTTTTGTTGCTCGCGTTCTCTTATTCGGAAACACCGAGGACAGTCTTGGGGCGAAGCTGCGCTGGTGGGCGGGCTGTGTCTGTTGTGCCAACACTTGGCGTGCAAACAGCAGCCGCAGTGTCTGCACCTGACCACCTTGGCCACGTCCCACGGATACAAAATCTCACTATTCCTGCAAATTTCACAGATGAAGCCTCTCGCCGGACACAACTGCAATTTAAAAAATTAATCCATTTGATTGAGATTTGACTATGTAAAAATTGAATCAAATGAAATTCAAATTTTTATGGTTCAAATTACCGAGCAATTTGCGACATGCTCCTGGCACAGATTGACCAAGTGCTGCAGTCGGGTCACAAGTTCTCCGGTCTTGACTTGGCAAAGGTCCACCATGGAGTACAGATCAGGGTCTTTGGGCAGGTGACTAGGCTCCCTGGAGAGTTTTGTCCGCTCGATGGAGGCGAACCGGCAGTGTGAAATGAAACTGGAGAGCTCGGCCAGCTGCACCCGCACCAGTTTGCACTTGGCCAGCTGCCGGAACTTGCGGAACAAGTTCGGATTCAAGTCTTCCAGTCTGAAGAGGGCGTCATTCTGCATTTGGTCGAGCAGCCGATAGGAAAACGCAGAGACAGGGAACCTGGAGAAGTCCCACTTGGTGATTATGCGTCCTGGGATCATGGCCAGCTGGTTGCCGTGACACCCTGTGCAGAAGAAGCGGCCCAAATATTCGCAGTAGCGCATTTTGTTCGCGTACTGCGGCTCCACTTTCATGCCGCAACCGGCACACATGTAATTCTGCTTGCCCAGAAGAATCTTTTTGCTGAAATCAATTCAGTAAAAAATTAAATTATGCTGAATATGTCAGTTTAAAACTATTAATGAATAGAAAAAAACGATTATAACTATTGAATTAAATTAATGCTCCGCAGTGGATTCCAATTTAAGAGAAAAGAATTTGTAAAAAATCCACTTTTCTGATTTCTCAAATTAATTACAAATCCACATTTTCCTTTTCTCACTATTAAATTATTACAAATCCTTACTTTGGAGAGGGGTGTGGAGTGAAAATGATCTGAGCTCTTGGCGGTGCCCACTGAAAATTTCCTCTCAGTTGTGTCGCCCGAGTCATGTCCTCGTCTTCAGCATCGTCAGGACTGACGGGCCAACTCGAGGGCAGAGGCAGCAGCTAGATTTGAATTAAAATAAGAAAACTGAAGTGATTTTTTCCTTTCTAAAATCCAACCTTTTGAGGCACTTCTTTTTCCGAAACCAGCCACTGCAGTTCCGATTCGTTGGGAATGACTTTTCCTTTGAACTGACTCAGCAACGCAAACGCCACTCCTTCGGCTGTGCTTTTGTGCGACTGGACACTTTCCTCCAGGATACAGTTGGGCTGCCTCGACGCCAGTTCCGATTCAGAGTAGAGGGAAGCAAGCGACATTGATAGACCTGTACAAAAAGAAATAAAAAACTTGACTTTTCCTGAAAATATTAATTTTTTGTTTCATTACCAGACACTCCGACTCTTGCCAGATTGTCACAAGGCGCTCCTGGCTGATCAGAATCAATCAAGTGGTCTTGAGAATTATCTTCTTCGCTGTCGGAGGAGGGAGAGGATGGCGGAGTGACACTCGACTGATCAGTGTTCGGCGTGTCTGTGCGTCCATCACTAGTCAAGGGCTAAGTAAGAGTTTATAAAAATTACATTAAAAGAGAAGGTTTTGCACAGTAAAATCTCACATTGGTATTTAGTTGCTTCCTGGCTCTGGTGACCCTTCTTGTGCGCGAGATAAGTCTCTTTTCTCTCAATTCCTTTTCCCTGCGGCGGGCTCGTATTTTTTCCTGCAGCCTGGCAATTTCCACGTCGTCCTCTTCCTCACTATTCAAGGTGTCATCAGTGATTGACTCCTTCCTCTGTGAATGCAGTTAAAATTTCAAATGTAAATTTTAAGATGAAAATAAAAATATCATTGCCAATTTTGGGTTAGAGAAATTTTCATTAATTTTAGTCGCATAGATTGAAGGGAAAAAAAGACAACAAAAAATATTTCTTGATTGTTTTTTAATTAGTTTTAAAGATTGATCAAAGATATTCTACGATTTATCCATGCAAATTATAATATAATAAAAAAATAGCTTTGATGTGCTTTCACAGTAACTTACAAGTTTCCTTTTGGCATTTTTCTCATTTCTCTCGCACTTGGCTCTTTCTATGGCAGCAATCATCGCCTCCGAAACACTGAAGTGCGCGTTTTCCCTGCCAAGTTCTTCCGCAGGGTCTGAAAACTTCCCTGCCGAGGCCAAAAAGCCGGTCACATCCGACGGCTTCCGGTCCATCGAACCAAAGGCCGTCACCACAAACGGAGACATGAACTGCGGGGACATGGACAAGGAGCTGCCGGGCGTTGCCAATTTCGAAGGTGACAGAGAACCCTCCTCTGCAGAATTGGCAGGGGGCGAAATTGGGATTTCTTGACTGAGGGCCTCGGTGCAGGGTTCGACGAGGACGTCCACGCTGGCCGTCTTTTCCACAGACTTGGGCGTGTCCTCCTGGATTGTGGTGCTCAAACTGAGGTTTGTGGGTCTCCTGAGAGTCTCCTTCCTCGGACTAGAGTGCCGCCGTTCCTTGGCCTGGCACACGAGTTTCAACTCCTGCAGCGCGGCCTCGACGTTGAATTTCTTTTTCCGATTGACGTCTGACGTCGTCGAACTTCGGTCTCGGGTTTTTGGTTTGGGCGTGTTGAAGAGACTCGGCTCGCTGCTCCATTGCCGCTCGAGGGTCAGCTTGGTTGTGGGCAGCAACTTGAGGTGCGGCAGCGTGGTTGACCTCCGGGTCAGTCTCATGAAGGGGCGCACGTTGTCAGGGAAAGACGAGCAACGCCGGTGCGATCGGACAAACTGTTTTGTGCTCAGTTGACTCAGGTACTAAAAAAAAAAATCAAAATTTTAGTATGTATTTTTTAAATATTAACTAAATTGAAGAGTAAAAATGAATATCAAATTAGTAAAAATATTATAATTTCATAAGAATGAGAACCTAAATCCTAGCTTACAAAAATTTTTATTTCTTATTTATTTAAAATTTTAAATCTGTTCCAAAATTAAATTTTATTTCAGGCAAATGTTCACCGAATCCAAAGTTCATTCTGATTTTAAAATTTAAATTTACCAGTCTGGGGTCCAAATCATTCAACAGGGACGGCTGTCCTTGCTCAACAGCCCTGAGACAAATCAGGGCGGCCTCTGAATGCTTCGGTCTGCGCAAATAAGCAAAAGGTTCGTAGCAAGATTCCAAGTGACTCCGGTCTGAGAGCAGCCAAGACAACTTGGCTGACAAACTGTGTGACTCCAAGCTGCGTACATACAATATAAAAATAAGCAGGTCAATAAATTGCACAATCTATAATTTAATACAATATAAAAATAGAAACAAAGCGCAAGACTCACTGTGTGCTCGAATCACATGCACTGGAGATAAAAAATAAAATAAATAAAAAAAGCATTGATATTGCGAAAATTGTAGACAAAAATTAGGGCAAAATTTATACCTTTTGAAAAGCCACTCCGAGTACTGCTCGTTTCTGCGTGATTCATTTTTTGATGAATCGTCGTCAGCACAGGAAGTCATTGCAGTTTTTAGCAGGGACGGCCGGAAAGGTGGTGAGGAGGCCAGCGACGGCTGCAGCCACTGCAGAGCTTCGACGAAGGCCCACGGGTCTGGAATGCCCTGTGAACGTCACAAGAAGTGTCAGGTTTCCTTTTGCCAGAGCGTTCAATTGGAAAGCGCAGATCACGTTTCCTTTTTCTTTTAGCATAATAAAAATTTCATAATTCATCCCCACTCTCTCTAGCTTTGCAATCAAAATAAGAATTGAATACATGCGGGTCGTGAATCCTGAGGCCGTGCTGCAGGATCTTGAGCACGGCCGAGTGCAACCGCTGCAGGCCGCCGTAAACACTCCACACGTTGGTTGAGTGACCCGCGAGGAGGCCCTCGGCGGTGCCCTTCAGGGTCTGCAGAAGCTGCCGACACGCCTCGTCCTGCTCGTCGGCGCTCATTTTCGGCGCTCTCGTCCGTTCACATCGGACTCTATAAATTTCGGCCGCAGAATGCGGGGACGAGAAGTGTCAAAGCCAATATTTGGTCAGCAGTCAGCAGACGGACCGACACCGACACGACCGTGCGTCATTTTTTGGCGAAACAGCTGCTGCAGAAGGGGGCGTGGCCACTGACCGCACAGCCGACGAAAACACCTCACATTTCAGGTGAATTTTCGGCAAATTTAGGCTTTTTCCTTAATTTCAAAGGCATTTTTGCCATCCTTAATGAACCGTAGATTGAATTATGCATAAGTTCTACCAAAATGACTTGAAATTTCTTTGCAATTCAGTTTTTTCTTACAGAGGTCCGTACTTTTCTGTAAACTATGGCTGTTGAGACTGAACCCAATAAATTTTCTTTTGATAGCTTGAATTTAATTCAATTATCTTCTTGGCTGCAACTTTTATGAATTAAATTCACTATTTATATCTAAATCGGGTAGAAAAACTTCCAGCATTCCTTTAACTTTGCTTTTTTTAGCAAACATAAAACTTATTTTGTTTTTAGTTATATCTTCATTATTTATTACATAACTTTCTTTCAATTTCCCTCGCGCAAAAACTTTTAGATTTTTATATTTTTTTTATATTTTATAATAATATATATAGGAACTTTAATATCGATGATGATTTTTTTAATTAACTTGAATAATATTTCAATTTTCAGCTAAAATGTTGACGAATTTGGGACGTACCTTGAGCCAGGGTGTCTGGCGCGGCGCCAGGGCCATCCAGACCTCGGCAGTGCAGAGGTCAGACAGCCTTTTCGTGCATCGAGACTCTCCTGAGGACAACCCTGACATTCCCTTTGAGTTCAACGCGGAAAACAAGAAGAGGGCAGAGGCCATCATGGCCATTTACCCTGAGGGTCACACCAGGGGCGCCATGATCCCCTTGCTCGACCTGGCCCAGAGGCAAAACGGAGGCTGGCTGCCCATTTCGGGCATGCACCACGTGGCCGAGTTGCTGAAACTGCCCCGCATGAGGGTCTACGAGGTCGCCACCTTCTACACCATGTTCATTAGGTAAATTTTTTTTATAAAATAATAATTTTTTAAAGAATTAAATTAATTTTTACATGAATTATCATATGCAAAATTTTTTTTGTTATTTTAAAGGAATATTATTAATTTTAAACTTATTCAATTAAATTTGCTAAATTAAATACAGTTTCTCAATTGAGATCCCAACTTAAAGTTGAAAAAAATCCAATAAAATTAATGCCGTAAATTTTCTACTCTTTCAATAATTTAATCTGATTTTAAATTAGATCAACCTTTGGATGTAATTTTAAGAAAAAACTGCATTTTTAATAAAAAATTTACCAAATTTTTTTCTTTTAAATTATTAGGAAGCCCATTGGCAAATACCACGTCCAGGTGTGCACAACCACTCCATGCTGGCTGCGAAACTCGACCGAGATTCTCGATTGCATCAAGAGCAAGCTGAACATCGAAGTGGGCGAAACCACCCCGGACAAGATGTTCAGCCTTTCGGAGGTCGAATGCCTCGGCGCTTGCGTGAACGCCCCCATGATCCAGGTCAACGACAACTACTATGAGGATCTCACAGTCAAGGACACCGAGGAGATCCTGGAAAAACTCAAAAAGGGCGAGCAGCCCAAGCCGGGGCCCAGGAACGGCAGATTCGCAGCCGAGCCTTTGGGAAACCTGACCTCCCTCAAGGAGGAGCCCAAAGGCCCAGGATTTGGCGTCCAAGCTGGTCTTTAGGAAATTGTTGCTAGTTGTTTGAATGTAAATAAATAAATTTAAAAAAAACTAAATGTAAAAAAAATAGAAGAGTTTAATTTGCATCTCAAAGCAAGCAAATTTGCAAAAGTTTATATTCTGAAATAAAAATGAATTATTAATTTATTTCTGGATTCGAGTTAAATTAAAAAGTATAAATTTTAAAATTTCTACAAAAATCGTTTCTGAAATTAAATGAAGGAAAATTAATTAAAAAAATCAACTAATTTATCCGTAGAGAATGGCTGCTGTTATAAATTCCTCCCATACTGTTTTTAATCTCTCATTATTAACAGAAGTGAATTTTGAAGTTAATCTTTATTGGACTAATTCGTCAACCTGCGCGAGTCTCTCATGCTAATTGTAAGCACTTATTGGGAAAGCTTACGTCAGCCTACTCGCACAGTTATCCACATTATTGAGATTAGGCCAGGAATATGAAAACTGATAAGCAGCTTGAGCTGATAAAAGGTGGACCGTCGAGTTCCCATTTAGTGCGTTTGGCACGATTGGTTGCAGCCACATTTTGATCCTCACCACCGGGCATCAAAAAGGAAAAGGGTCAACATGGCTGTGCCCAAGAGCACGGTGGACCTACAGGTATTCATAATGATTCTCTTATTTCAAACAAAAGATTTTAATTTTTTTATGTGCAGTAATATAAATATATAGCTGTGCAGAGTAATTTGGTGACTCATCTGAATTGCGTTATCTTAATCTTAATTTCTTGGATCTATATATGAGATTTAGAAACCTAATTCTTTCATTCTCAAGCTGGACGAAATTAAATTTTGGAAAATTTTGCATTTAAATTTGCAATAATTGCGGCTTTCTCTGTTGTACGTCTTTCACTACTTATCGTAATTTCAATCAAGTCTACCAATCTTAAAATATCAGTGACAGCCGCACCAGCCGAGAGGAGATATCATTCTTTTAGAGTGACGCGGCACATGTACTTTTCCCCAACTCATTAAACGCTTCCTTTTATCGCTGCGCATTGTTTTGTAGCCAATTCATTATCTAGTTTTTCCCCCCATGGAACAAGGCAATTGAGAATTGATGAGGCGAACAAACAAAATTTTCAGGGGGAGTGGGTTTGGATCAAACCTGCAACACCTGGCGAGTTTGAAGTGCCAATTGGTGCCAGAATCGTCTCCAACGACAAAAACAAATTAACAATCAAAGATGACGAAGAAAAAGTAAAGATCTCATTTTATATTTAAAAACATTAACAAATTGTTAATGAAATAAATAGACTAGAACCGTGTCTGTGGACGCAATCGTCAAAACCATGCATCAGACCTCCGTCCAGGGCGTGGAGGACATGATTTCTTTGGGCGATCTGCACGAACCAGGCATCTTGAGGAACCTCCAAATGCGCTACAAAGACAATTTGATTTACGTAATCTATAGATTTTATTTGGGGAAATTTTCGAGTTTTCACATTTTGAATTTTTATTCAGACGTACACCGGCTCCATCCTGGTGGCCATCAACCCATACAAAGTTCTGCCCATTTACACTCAAAATCAGATCAAACAATACCGCGGCAAGAAGATTGGTCAAGAGCCGCCGCACATTTTCGCCGTCGGCGACAACAGCTTCAGTAATATGCAGCGCTACAAGCAGAACCAGTGCATCGTTATTAGGTATACATTTTAATTAAAAAGAAAAAATTATTAAATTTAATTAATAAAATTTAGTGGTGAGAGTGGCGCCGGAAAAACGGAGAGCACAAAACTGATTTTGCAATTCTTGGCCGCCATCAGTGGCAGACACTCGTGGATCGAGCAGCAAATTTTGGAAGCAAATCCCATTTTGGAAGGTGAAGATTTTTACTTAATTTTTTTACTCCCCTAAAAAATAAGCAAATTTCAGCATTTGGAAACGCGAAAACGATCAGGAATGACAACTCTTCGCGATTTGGAAAGTTCATCGACATACATTTCAACAAGGAGGGGGTCATCGAGGGGGCCAAAATTGAGCAGTATCTACTTGAAAAGTCACGAATCGTGGCCCAGAGCACCGACGAAAGAAACTACCACATTTTCTACTGCATGCTGGCCGGATTGAGCGCAGACGATAGAAAGAAACTCGAGCTGCAAGACGCTTCCCATTACAAATACTTAACTGGGGTATATATATATATTTTTTTAATTCCATAGACACAAAAGCATGTCATATTTTAATTTATTTAATTGATTTATCTTTCAAAATTCTATCATGGCTTGAATATAAAATTCACGTTAACTTTGATATTTTATTCGCAAAAGGGTGGAAGCATCACTTGCGAGGGCAGAAACGACGCAGCCGAGTTCGCGCAGATCAGGTCAGCGATGAAAGTGCTCATGTTCACCGACCAGGAAATCTGGGACATAATGAAACTGCTCGCCGCCCTTTTGCACATCGGCAACATTCGATACAAAGCATCCGTGATAAGTGAGCGCTTTTTCTCTCTAAAAAATAAAAATATCCTCCAAAACTCTTGTAATTAGATAACTTGGACGCCACCGAAATACCTGACGAGACAAACATCAAAAGGGTCTCCAATTTGCTCGGAGTGTCTCCGAAATCACTTGTCGAGGCGCTCACGACCAAGAGCATATTCGCGCACGGAGAAACGGTATAACTTTGATCAAATTAAAATAAATCATGAAAATGTAAAATTTTGGGCCTAAAAGGTTGTTTCGAGTCTTTCCAAGGAGCAGTCGATGGACGTGAGGGACGCGTTTGTCAAGGGCATCTACGGCCAGCTCTTCATTCTGATCGTCGACAAAATCAACAACGCCATTTACAAGCCGCAAATCGCCTCGGGCCAGAAAATTGGAGTCCTTGACATTTTCGGCTTCGAGAACTTTAACATCAACAGGTGTGACAAAAAATGAAAAAGAAAACGCCTGCAAATCAGGTGGTTTATGCAACTTGCTCAACCTACGTGTCGAGCGGGGTGCATAAAGTTTCAATTTCAGGCAATTTTAAAATAATATTTTTTTTAAATTTAGTTTCGAGCAGTTCTGCATAAACTACGCAAACGAGAGCCTGCAGCAATTTTTCGTGCAGCACATTTTCAAACTGGAGCAAGAGGCGTACTCGGCAGAGGGCATCAGTTGGAAGCACCTCGAGTTTCAGGACAACCAGCACATTTTGGACATGATCGCGATGAAGCCAATGTCCATCATGAGCCTCATCGACGAGGAGAGCAAATTCCCAAAGGTTTCAGTGTTTTGAATATTTATAACAAAAAATTAATAGTTTTTCAAATAAATCAGGGCACGGACCAGACGTTGCTGAACAAAGTTCACTCAAACCACCAAACGAGCAGGTGCTACCTGAAGCCAAAGTCGGACCTGAACACGTCCTTTGGCCTGGAGCACTTTGCGGGGGTGGTTTTCTATGACACCAGGGGCTTCCTCGAGAAGAACAGGGACACCTTCAGCACGGACCTGCGTCAACTGGTGCACATCAGCACCAATCGCTTTTTGGCGCAGCTCTTCGACGACAATAAACTGCCAAACAACAGCAGGTAAAAGATTAAAAATTAAGTTTAAGGAAAAACTGTTTCACATTAATGTGCAGGGGCAGCATTCCGGACACGACGAAGCGGCAGCAAACGCTGTCGGCGCAGTTCAAGCGGTCGCTGGACGCGTTGATGCGCACCCTGTACAGCTGCCAGCCGTTCTTTGTGCGCTGCATCAAACCCAACGAGTACAAGAAACCGCAGGTCAGTGTCGATGATTTTTTTTTCGGGAATGCTTTTAGCGGGGTCCGCGCAGATAAGATTCGCCGGCTAATGGGCCTCCTAATTGATGAATAAATTAATTTTAAGATGTTCGACCGCGCCCTGTGCTGCCGCCAATTGCGTTACTCTGGCATGATGGAGACGATCCGCATTCGCAAGGCGGGATACCCTATCAGACACGCGTTCAAAGATTTCGTCGAGCGATACCGCATTCTCGTCCCTGGCATTCAGCACTCGGCCAAGGTAGTAGTAGCTCGATGATGATAAGCGTTTCTTCAATTAACGTCAATTAAAACCGAATTTTAAAAGGCCGACTGGAAGCATCTGTCGAACAAAATCTGCGGCGCCATTCTGGGCAGGTCCGACTACCAATTGGGGCACTCGAAGGTTTTCTTGAAGGACGCCCAGGATTTGCAGCTGGAGCAGGAAAGGGGTGTCGTCCTCGCAGCCAGAATTTTGATTCTGCAACGCTGCATCAAGGGCTGGATCCAAAGACGCAGGTATGACGTTATATAAAATTAATTAATAAAAAAAAAAAACGATTAAATTTCAAATTTAATTTCAGGTACCAGAGATTGAGGGCTGCCACTGTAAAGATTCAAACGGCGTGGAGAGGCTACTTGCCGAGGAAGCGTTATCTGGAAGAGAGAAATGGTTGGCGACGTCTGCAGGCTTGCATAACCTCCAGGCGACTGACGCACAAGTTCACCCGAACTAGAGAAAAAACCATTCGACTACAAGTAAAATTCGGTTAAAATTAATTATTTCGAATAAGAGTAATTTTTAATAGGCTCGTTGTCGCGGATACTTGGTGAGGAAAACGCTGGCCCGTCGCGAGAAGGCGATCGTCAAAGTGCAGGCGCACGTGCGGCGCATCATCGCCCAGAAGCAGGTGTTCCGGATGCGGTACCGCGAGCAGCGAATGCAGGAGATCCGGCGGCTGCGGAAGGAGGAGGAGGCGCGCTTCAAGAAGGACAAGATGGAGAAGTACAAGGAGGAGGCCGAGAAGAACTACAAGATCCGCGTGCAGGAGCTCGAGAAGGAGATGCAGGCGCAGGAGTTGGACGCCAAGTGGCGCGCCGAGAGGAACAACCGGCGCATCACCGAGGCGCTGCGGAAACGCGAGGCGCCCATCGACCACTCGCAGTACGTCAGCGACATTTTTGGCTTCTTGGAGAAGACGCCGAGCGAGGCGTCCTCCTCCTCACTGCCCAGCCCCACGTCCGAAGTGCAGAGAACCACGGTTTACGGAGTGAGCATTTCAAATTAAAAATTACTTTTTCTATATTGGCGAAAGAAAAATCTGAATTTCTTAGAAAATTATCCCAAAAAGCCCCCAAACAAAACAAATATAAAATTATTAATTAAAAAATAAAATTTTAAATTATCTAAAATAAAAACAATTATCAGGGACTTGGTGCCGAGTCAGCTAAGAAAGCGCCCCCGTCAGAAATTATCGACGCGATGGGTAAGAGCAAAATGGAGAAGGACGACCTCGAAGAGTACAGTTTCCAGAAGTTCGCCTCCACCTACTTCCAGGGCATGGTCAATCATCAGTACTCGAGAAAGGCCATCAAACCCTCTTTGCTCAAATTGCCAACAGCTGCAGATGAACTTGTACATTTTTAAAAATTATATTTTTTTACTTTAAAATATTAAAACATTGTCAATGAAAGGCCGCCCAAGCTTTGTGGATCACAATTCTGCGTTTCTGCGGAGACCTGCCCGAGCCGCGTTTCGTGAACAGCGACAGAGACAACAGCTCCGTCATGCAAAGGGTCCAAGCGACCTTGGGAAGGTCGTTCACGCAGACCTCGCAGTTCAACGACCTGATGAACTCCAACAAAGAAACGATCGCACCAAATTCGGTATTAAAATTGTTTTTTAATTTATTTCGGTTTAAAATTTTTTATTAAAAAAGGCTTTGCCACGGTCTGTGAGAGGAAAACTGGTGTCTCTGACGTTGAGGAGGAAGAACAAGCTGCCCGAAGAAATGCGACAGGGCATTTTGAGCGAGGAGTTGGCCAAGGAGAGCTACCAAAACTGGCTCAACTCACGGCCAACCACAAACTTGGAGAAGTTGCACTTCATCATCGGCCACGGAATTTTACGATCGCAATTGAGGCAAATTAAAATTGAATCTTATCAATTTATTTAATTAATTTAAGGTCAAAATAGGGATGAGATTTACAGTCAGATTTGCAAGCAGCTGACCAACAACCCTTCCAAGTCGTCACACGCCAGGGGTTGGATTTTGCTGTCTCTGTGCGTGGGTTGCTTCGCCCCGTCGGACAACTTCAACAAATACCTGAAGGCGTTCATCAGACAGGGACCGCCTGGCTACGCACCCTATTGCGAGGGAAGACTGCAGAGGACGATGACAAACGGAACCAGGACGCAGCCACCCAGTTGGCTCGAGCTCCAAGTACAATTTTTTTACTTAATCAGAGTTAGGGTTTATTAAAATTAATTCCAAAAAGGCCACCAAGTCGAAGGAGCCGATTATTCTGACGGTGACTTTCATGGACGGTTCGCAAATAACTCTGCGGACGGACTCGGCCACGACGGCCAGCGAACTGGTCGACAGCGTCGCCAACAAAATCGGGCTCAAGGACCGATTTGGCTTTTCACTCTTCATCGCCCTCTTTGATAAGGTAAATTAATATAATAAAAACTGAAACAATTCAAAATTCAGTTTTAATGAAAGAGAATATTTTTAAAATTTAATAAAAAGTTTATTATTAATAGAAATAATAATAAATATTTTTGTTTCAAATATTATTTAATTTTATTTTCAAACTTTTTTATATTGAAATATAATTTAATTATTATATTAAAAATTACTTTTTAACATTTTTATAAATAATTTCTAAATTTTTCTTAGAGTCCTTTCTTAAAAAAAAAAAATATTTTTTAATAAATTATTTTTAGTCTATTTTTTTTCTAAAATAATATTTTTATAAATAATAATATCAAATATTCTGGAATTTATTTTAGGTATCTTCCCTTGGAAGTGGAGGTGACCACGTGATGGACGCGGTGTCCCAGTGCGAGCAGTATGCAAAGGAACAGGGTGCACAAGAGAGAAATGCGCCCTGGCGCCTCTTCTTCAGGAAGGAAATTTTCGCGCCCTGGCACGACCCGTCCTTTGACCCTGTCGCCACCAACCTGATCTACCAGCAGGTCGTTCGGGGCATCAAGTACGGAGAGTACCGCTGCGATAAGGTACATGAAAATAAGTTACAAAGAAAAAAATAATCCAAATAAAGTTAATTAATTAAATTTTCTATTTAAAAAGAAGATAAATTAGAAAAAATAAAATTCCGCAAATTGCCTTTCTAAATAGTAAAAAACTCATTACATTAACTAAGCTTGTGATTTAAATTGAAAAAATTTTGTTAATGATACTATTTTTATGGGTTCAATTTTAAACCATAATTTACATTGAATAAAAATAAACCAGCGCATTTTAATTTTCATTTCAAAACTTTTTCCAGGAGGAGGACATTGCTATGCTGGCCGCTCAGCAGTACTTCATCGACCACGGCGCCAACCTGAATCCGACCATTTTGGCAGGATCGTTGCCCATTTACCTGCCAGACTCGCACCTTGTGGGACCAAAAGAGAAGGTCTTGGACAAGTGGTCCACAAACGTGACGCAGGCGTTCAAAAAGGTTTTTTGTCCTGATTTTTATTTTCTTATAAATGTTTTTCATGTAATTTTTATAAATCAGAGTTACTATGTAAAAGAAAACGTGTCAAAGGGCAAGGTCAAGGAGGACATCGTGACCTACGCGAGGCTCAAGTGGCCGCTTCTTTTCTCCAGGTTCTTTGAAGTCTTCAAAGTTTCTGGTATTTATTTAAAACATAATTTAATTTCATTGAAATTTGTATGATTTTTATAATTCAGGCGCTACTCTGGCCAAAAATGACGTCATCATCGCTGTCAACTGGACTGGTCTGTACGTGGTTGATGACCAAGAGCAAGTCCTGTTAGAATTATCCTTCCCTGAGATCACAGACATAATAACGTGAGAAATTTTGCAATATTTAAAATAACATAAAAATTAGTTTCTTTTTTTATTTATTTAATTACAATTCACAATATTTAATTTAAAATTTTGATTGCAGTAAACCAGCAACAATGAAAAATGGTCAACCAGTGTCACCGCAAATTGAGATGCACACCGCCCAGGGTCAAACCTTGACGTTCAACGCGCCCAACTCTGAGGACCTGAAGGACTTGTTGTTCTTCCTGATCGGCGAGCTCAGGAAGCTCTCCAGGTTCGCGGTCGCTCTGCAGGACTACACAGCAAAGGGTTAACATTTACAACCAATCGAAAAAATGTATATTTGAACTTTTAAATAATCGGCAGAAAACAATCTGCTGACGTACGTGAAGGGCGACCTGATTTACCTGGAGGGCGAAACGACCGGCGAGGTGATGATGAAGAGCGCCTGGGGCGTGGGACGGAACAGAAGGACCAACCAGCGAGGGGACGTCGCCAGTCACAACGTCTACATTTTGCCCACCTTGAGAGAACCTCCAACCGACGTTATTGTAAGAATCATTTGACTTTGCATTTGCAATAAAAAGATTTGGAAGTTAAAAAATTTAATAAATTTCTGAAACTAAATCTAGGCCCTCTTCCTGCAAGACGGCGCCCTGAAGGGTCGCCAGCTGCAGATGATGAACGCAGCCGATGGTACGGTGAACAGGGTCAAACCACACACCCTTATGAACTATGCTGCTGAGCATTTCCGGTATTTATTAATATAATTTTTTAATTATTTTTCATAAAAAAGGAAAAACTGCTTCATTTTCAAACTGCTTTTTTCCGTTGTTTCTATTCTTTGATTATTTATTTATTAAGGCACTTTAATAAAGATTCTCCTATTGTGAAACATAAAATTAAACTTTTCCAGCAAGAAGTAAAAATGTAATTAGTATGGTTTAAGAAAAAAAAATCCAAAATTGATCTTCCTTTTTAAATATAGGTTTTATTTTAATATATATTATTTTAACTTATTTTTAATATTCATTTAACCCCAAATTTTTCTTTTTATGTATTTTGTTTGTATTTCATACAGATTTTTAAAGGAAATATCTTTGTAATAAAGCTTAAAATTGAATCTGTCCAGAATGTTCTCGCGGCAGTCGCTCAGCAAGGGTCAAACGCTGACCTCGGCCAGGGGCAAGAACGTGAGCAACGACGAGCTGTGGCGGCACTCGCGCGAGCCCCTGAAGCAGCCGCTGCTCAAGAAACTGGTCAACAAGGACGAGTTGGCTGCGGAGGCGTGCTTCATGTCCGCGGCCATCCTCAAGTACATGGGCGACCTGCCCTCCAGGAGACCCAGAAACAGCTCTGAGCTCACCGACAGCATCTTCGACGGACCCCTTAACCACGTAATTTTAATTATAACATTTAAAAATAAAACTTTATTTTTTTGAGCTGCTCAAAAAAATCAATTCTTTAATTTCAAGTTGGAATTTTTTTAACAAAATGAAATAACTGATTTTATAGTTTCAGTTTTAAAACTTTACCTTAAATTTAACTTTTATTATTTTTAGGATTTGCTGAGGGATGAGGTTTATTGCCAAATCATGAAGCAGTTGACGGGAAATACGAGCGAGTTCAGCACTGAAAGAGGATGGGAACTGATGTGGCTCGCGTCTGGACTCTTCGCCTGCAGCACTGGTCTGCTGAAGGTAAGAATTTTTGTAATTAGATTTGACTAAAATTGTTAATTAATTTATATAACCTTCAATTAAGGACATATTACTCTAATTGCTTTTTATTTTTTGATTAAAATCAAATTGATTGAAAATTTATAGGAGCTGACCATGTTCCTGAGAACAAGGAAGCACCCCCTGGCCCAAGATTCCCTGCAAAGGCTGCAGAAGACCCTGAACAACGGCCAGAGAAAGTATCCCCCGCACCCTGTAGAGGTTGAGGCTATTCAGCACAAGACCACGCAGATCTTCCACAAGGTCTACTTCCCAGACGACACTGACGAGGTATACAATTTTTCTCATTGTAAAAATTTCATATCATAATTCAACTTTTATTTATAATTATTGTAAAAAATAATTAAAGCCTAATTTAATGCCGAATTGCCTGTTGTCTTTACAATTTTGCATTATTCATTTTAACAAAAATTATAATGTTATATATACATTTTTTCAATTTTGTGTTTTTATTTGATTAAATTTCCTTTCGAAGGCGTTTGAGGTTGATTCTTCTACAAGGGCGCGCGACTTGTGTGGCTCGATTGCCAAACGGCTCAATTTGGTTTCGGCCGACGGCTTCAGCCTTTTCGTGAAAATCGCAGACAAAGTCATCAGCGTGCCCGACACCGACTTCTTCTTTGACTTTGTGCGTTACCTGACAGACTGGATGAAGCGGACGAGACCGACTCGAGACGGTAATTCAAAAAGATTTTAAAGTTTCTTTTTAACAAATATAATTTTTACATTTCAAGGAGTGGCTCCGAACTTCCTCTACCAGATCATCTTCATGCGCAAACTGTGGACCAACGTGTTCCCAGGAAAGGACAAAAACGCCGACCAAATCTTCCACTATCACCAGGAAGTGGTCAAACTCCTCAGAGGTTTGAAAAAATTTATTTACAAATTAATATTATTTTTTAAATCAATTGTTGTTAATTTTTAGGCTACCACAAATGCGGAAAGGACGAGGCCGTTCAACTGGCTGCCTTGATTTATCGCGTCAACAACGGAGTCAATAAAAACGAGTTGGCAAATATTGGGTGCGTTTAATGGATCATTTTTTTTTATTATTATTTAATAAAAAAATAAAAATCAGGCAAAACTTGAAAGACTACGTTCCGAGCGACATGATTCGCCTCCAGAGCAGCTCAGAGTGGAAAAAGGCAATCACTTCTGCCTTCAACAAAAGCTCCGGTATTTAAAAAGAAAAATTAAATAAACATTTTGAAATTTTCAGTAAAATTTTTTTTTTTTTTGAAAGGTTTGAGCAAAGAGGACGCAAAAACTGCCGTGCTGAAAATTCTGTACCAGTGGCCCACTTTTGGCTCTGCCTTCTTCGAAGTCAAGCAGACCTCCGAGCCAGGCTATCCGGAAATCATCATCGTCGCCATCAACAAGAACGGCATCAGCCTGATCAATCCTCAAAACAAGGAAATTCTGATCACGCACTCGTTCAACAAAATTTCCAACTGGTCCTCGGGCAACACGTACTTCCACGTGACCATCGGCAATCTGGTCAGGAGCAGCAAACTTTTGTGCGAAACCCCGCTCGGCTATAAGATGGACGATTTGCTGACCTCGTACATCGCGTCGCTCGTCAACACCATCGAGCAGAGGAGCCGAAACTACTAATTTATTTTCCTTAATTTGCTTTGTTCACTTTTTTAATGACGGTGTATTTAACCGAAGAGATCGGATAGAGTTGAAATGGAAATAAAGATTTTAACTTAACCTAGTAGCAATTATTGTTGAATAAAAGATTTTATTCATTCATTCATTACACTTAATATTATAATAAAAAATATTCAAATCATTTATTCCTGCTGGTGCTTTAAATTTATTGAACCAGAAGAACTATACCATGCATATTTTTGTGAGAGCAGGCAGTAATATATCTTGATTTTAAATTTTGAAAATATTTAAGTCCCAAGATGTCACTTTAAGGTGTTAATATGCTTTATAAGTGTGCTTCAGAAACTTCATTGAAAAATAAAAAATAAAACCTATTAATATTAAATGAAATTTAAAATTTATCAAATTTATTATCTTTTCCCTCTGACAAAATTTTTTATTAGATTATTAAAATAAAATTTAATTACAATCGACTTTCCAACTTTGTTTTTGTGTCTGAATCAGTCTGCTTTTAATCAGTTCATGAGTAAAAGTTAAAAAAAAACAATAATTTTGAAAATTTGTTTTTCAGTCTCTGTAAAATAACAATGTTTAATAAATAATAACTCTTTTATTAAACGCGTTTGCGTACAAAAGGTACCACATGCATTGCTGGAGCAGCACTACGAAAAGAACATTCACACAAATAAATTATTGCAAGTTCCCGCTCCTTATTCCCGCGGCACTCGACGCAACTAAAAAGTGGGCGTAACTCTTGTTGACTTTGCCGCTCGATTCACACCAATTCACACGTGTGTCGTGTCGCCGCCGCAGTGAAAAGACGCTCAAATTTTCGATTTTAACATTCCTTTTCGTCTCTTTCATTTAACTTTTACGTTCAAAATGTTAGGTCTCGCTCAGGTAAACGAATGATTTTTGAAAACTGCTCAATTTTCCATTGACTCGCGTTAAATTTTATCCATATTCAGCTTGCCAAGGCACGTTCGTCCCTTCTGAAGCAATTTGTCCAGCCCGCTCGCTTGCTGGCCACTGAGACAGACATCCAGCAGCCTGTGTTGAATGAGAAAAGTGAGCATCAGTGATAATTTTATCAATAAATTTTCCTATGCGTGAATTCCAGCCATCAACCAGGTGACTCTTCTCGGCCGAGTCGGAAGCGATCCGCAAAAGAGAGGCAACGAAGAGCACCCTGTTGTCATCTTCAGCCTCGCCACTCACTTAAATTACAAACAGGCCTCGTCAGGTATGCTCTATATTTATTATAAAATCCAGCCGCTTTCTTTTTGTGTATTTTCTAAATTATGTATAAAATTAAATTTCAGGTCTCAATGTTCAAAAGCCCGAGTGGCATCGCATTTGCTGCTTCAAGCCCAATCTGCGTGACTATGCCTACCAGTATGTGAAAAAGGGGCAGCGAGTCCACATCACTGGCCGTCTCACCTACGGAGAAATCACAGACTCGGAAGGAGTCTCTCGCACCACCACTGCCATCATTGCTGAGGACCTCATCTTCCTTGGCTCGGGAAATAACAATAGGCAGTAAATCTCCGTAGTGATTCAAATGGATCAAGCAACAGTTCCTGAAAACTACTTTTCACTCTCTGGAAGAGTTATTTTTTTTACCATGAGATTAGTTCCGAGCATTTTGATCTGTCAATTATTTAGTTCAAAACAACACACTCGTTGCAGCTTGTAAAGCATCACACAAAAGCCCTTTGATTGTTGTATCACTTTGTGATCAAGACGAAGCGCTGCCATGCTGGTATTTTATATCAAAATAAGTTTTTCAAAATGACATCTCATCACATTTGATTCATTCAGTTGCATTTTTTATTTATCTCTAGTGTTATGACAAATATAATAAAAAAATGTCTGTAGTTTTAGTTCTGCTTAGTGACTCGTGTAGAAGAACAATTCGGTCTTGTTAAGTACTTAAAAGGCATTAAAGAAGCTATTTCGTATAAAAACCGTTTGTACTTTTTAATAAAATTTATGATATATTTCCATTTCGGGTATATTAAATGAGACAAGCAGTTGAAATCTTTGCAATTTTATGTCTGTTTTTAATTTTGAAACTGCAAGGAACACAGTGAGGAATAATACTCATTTTAATTTTATGCAACTTCTCTGCAAGATTCTCAACATAAAAAGTCAAATGATCATTTTGTTTAAACCAAGCCATGAGATCTTTAATCATTTAACGAATTAAAATTCTTGCTTTGTTCACGAAATATACAATATGTTTTGAAAATTAAACATTTTTCCGTTTTTTTTTTAAATTTGAACGGCCACGATATTTAATGACGGGTAGCTGCCTCTCTAAAATGAAATTAATCAATAATAACTAGGTGTTCAATCTATTTTATAGTGAATTGATAAGTTGGTTATCCAGAGAAGAAATTTTTAATTTGAGCAATAACACGTCTGACGATTTTGTTTTGTTGATTGGCCAGCTTAAGAAAATCCTTGTATAAATATACCCAATCAACCCAATGCCCCCAAGAGGCAAGGGGGCTCGTCGTTTGTGGGTTTATGCCGAAAACGAAATCAAAACATAATTAAAATAGTCATACAAAGCAAGCGAAATGATGAGGAGAATCACGCATCGAGTTTGATTGCAAGTGTCTGGGCGAAAAAGCGCCATGTAGACCTCCTCTTCAATAAAGCAGCGTGCGCGCCAACGTCCACCAACCGCAACGCAGACCGATTTTTTCTACAAGAACCATAAAAATAAATTTTGATAAATGCACACTTCTTATTAAATTATATTGTGTTCCTCATTTTAGTAATGACATAAGAGAAAAATAAGTATAATTAAATAATATGTTAAAAGCATCTCCTCAATTGTATTGTATCAGGATAAACTACACATTCCTAGTTAATTCATCTTTTAAGTAAAAGCTTCAGTTAAGGGAGAATAACGAATTACATTAAATCTCTTCACTCTCTAGAATATTTATAGCAATCCTTAGTTCAACGTTGCTTTGGTTGTTGAAATGTTGAAGATTTGAATTTTTACTCCACTTCAACTTGAAATAATATAGGAAGTGCTATAAATTTTTTAAAAGTGCACAAATATAGTTTTGGGCGATTTCTTCCACTCCTACCACGGCAGGCATATCTTCAGGGACTGCAGCCATCTCCTGCTCGTGGGAAATCTCTTCTTGGTCTTGGGATATTTTCTTCCACTCCGACCACGGCAGGCAGATTCCCAGGGAACGTAGCCCTCTCCTGCTCGTGGGACATATGTTGGTCATTTCCATGAATATCAACCATTTCGACCATTGCGTTTTGGGTGTAGTTTTCCATCTAGTCAGGATCAAAAAACATGACTAAATCTGCCGATCTTCTGTTAGTTCAGTCTCGAGACTAATATCCTCGATTTCACTCCCCAGCGAGCCCTCATGAACAGCCATGGGAATCTGCCGATCTTCTGTAAATTGTTCAGTCTCGAGACTATCCTCAATTTCACTCTCCAGCGAGCCGTCATGAACGGGCCCTGGGAATCTGCTGTTCTTCTGTTTGTTCCATGATATTGAATCTCCTGCACCAAAGAAGTTATTGAATGAAAAAAATAAGCATAATATGAGTTCTCGATTGAGAATTTTTGTGCGTCGATTCTCTCCTGCAGCGGATAATCCATGCACAGGAACTTTTACTTGAGAGTATTTTAAAGAATTCTTGCTTGGAGAACCTTTAAAAGAATTCTTGCTGAGAAATTTTCAAGCAAAAAATCTTGCAAAGATTCTGAAGCAACAGTCCCTGACGTACAACCGCAGGTGAAAATCGGCGCATGAAAATTCTCACTCGCGAATCATTTTTCCATTTTTTCAAGTAATTAGACTCAGAGAATACTTACATGTCAACCCTCTGCCGGAAATGTCGGTTGAAGTGCTGAAAAGAATTCAAATTTTCTATTGTTGGAATAACAAAAATTGTTAACGCGCTTTCTAGCTAGAATATAATATTGTAATTGTTGTGTTACAGTTTTAATACAGTTAACAAATCTTCCAACAATGACAAGCAACATCAATGTTTATTTTTTAAATTCTCTTGCTTTACTTTCCTGAGCCTTCATGCAAATTCATGTCTTAGGCAAGTTAAATGAAAATAAAAAATAATAAAAACAGCCAGGATGTACAACCGGCCGACCAAAATAAAAATAAAATACAACACCACCCGTGGCCTAGAGAAAATACTTCCGCTCCTTTTAACACGGCTGCAGATGATAATCAACATCATAAAAATTTTAAAATAAAAATATTTTGTCTTTGCTACTTTACTTTTCTGGTTGGAAAAACACGAAAGGAAAATAAATCCAAATCCAATAATGGATTATATCCCTCTGCAGTTAGCTCTTTAAAACCTTGATTAAAATAGGCAGGAAATCCAAGACCTGAACATTTCACATCTCTAGCTCGGTCAGTCACAACTCCGAAAACCGGTAGAAAAAAAATTAGGTATATGCTTGTAGAAATCCAACTGCTGCTCTTGAAAATCATTAAGTTTTAAATATAAATTTGTCATTGAGTTTCTGTACCTTTAGCTTTAGTATGGAAAACTCAAAGGAGGTTTGAAGTCAAATGTTCAGGATTTTCCACCACACTCAGCTCCGCTAGTATCACGCGTATTTTTTTCTTTCCAAATAAAATTAAATTTTAGGTCTCACTGATCAAAAGCTACAATGGCGTGATAATAACTGCCACTTCAAAACCAGTCTTCGTGACTACACCTACCAATATTCTTAAGAAAGGGGAAGCAAAATCACACTCTATCTTTTTTAATTAGAAACAAAAAATACCCCAAGTTTTAGTTCTGCTAAGTGACTCATGTAGACATTACAGTTATTTAAAATATTTGAAAAACCTGTGAAAAACTAAATATATTTTTTGAAAACAGTTTATCCTTTTTAGTCAAATTTATGATACTTTGTTTCTCTTTCGGGTTGAAATGAGACAAGCAATTGACCTCTTTGCAATTTAATGTCCGTTTTTAATTTTGAAACTGCATGAAACACAGTACAGCTACAGTAATAGTACTCATTTCATTTTGTGTACACTTTAATTTCTCTCCAAAATACAAAATTCACAACATGCAAAGTTAAATGATCTTTTTGTTTAAACCAAGCCATGAGATCTTTAAACATCTAACAAATTTAACTCCTCGCTTCATTCAGGAAATATAATTAGGCATTTTCCTTTCTTTTTCAAATTTGAACAGCAACAATCGTAAATGACAGGTAGCAGCTGCCTTCCTAAAAAGCAATTAATCAACAAAATAATTAGGTGCTCAATCTATGTAGTGAATTGAAAAGTTGGTTATCCAGAGAAAAAAATAGGAAATTTGAGCAAAAACACGTCTGACGATTTTGTTTTGTTATACACGGAGTAAAAATATAATTATGGTGATCGAGTGTTTTCATGTGTTAGCATGCAATCGTTAAGACAAGACCCTCACACCGTCAAAATGATCTATACAACCAATAACAAATTCTGAGGAAATGAGAAATTGAAAGGGAACATTAACAACTAATTAAGATTAAGCATTATCTCTTAACTCACCTCTTTATTAAAAGCACTGCAGTTTTAAATATATCTCAATATATAATCTATTTTCTGTGTGTACTTTTCTCTCTCTCTCTCTCTCTCTCAATAATCCTCTTTCTTCTTTTTCACTTTAAATATATACACATCATCATCAGGTTTTCTCTCTAATAGTATATTTTTCACAAAGATTTACAGTTGGATTTAGCAATTGGATCTGATCACAGGGAAGACCTCGCAAGTTTTAGTGGCAAAACAAAACATTTTTGCTTCTTCGTACAAAATAACCACTTGTTTAATGTGGCATTGCCACTGAAATTTCGCGCAGCCTCGGTCTAGCCAGGGCTGCTTTTCTGACATCGTCAGTCGATCGGAGGAGGACTTTCTCCTTTCAAGAAAGAAAATACATTTTCATTTAAAATACACATCGTAGAATATAAAATCAGCTGGTGTCCAGTTTTTATATATGTACATAAAACAGAACTCTTGAATCAGTTGAATCGGTTTCGAGAAAAAAAAATCAGTTGACAGGCCAGCCACTCTCAAATAAAACCTGTCCTCTACAAATGGCACGAGAGACGTCCTAGCTATATAAAGTTGGCTTTAAATCGTATCACAACAAGTGCTTCTCAGTTGTTTTGTGATTGCAAATTGTCAATTGGTTGATTGCCAGTGTAATGAATTAATCATCAAATTTTCCAAATGTGGGAATGTCTCGTTGGGCTTGTTAGTCGGACGACTCGGACTTGATGGCGTCGTCTTGTGGCTTGCCCCACCGCAGCTCGAGCAGGTCCGACGGAGGACACCGGCTGCTCAGGTCAGTGGGTCCTTCCATACTCAGGTCGGTGGGCATGTCGCTGTAGTCTGCGGCCTCCATTTTGACCGCAGAGGAGCGGCCGGGCGGCGAGGAGGGCTGCTGCGAGGCGGCCACCTGTTGTCTCAGCAGCGAGATGTTTTTGATGTTCTTCAGCTCGCTGGGGTTGCGCAGGAACCTATAAAAAGGAAATTGTTTTAAAATTGGTCCTTAATTCTCCAAACAAAATTGTTCTAGATTGGAAATAAAAATTGACCCATAATTTTTCTTTACTTTTATAATTAAATTTTGTTTAGATTTCAATTCAAAGGTGCACTCACTGGTAGCAGTGGCGCTCGCCCTGGACCTTGCGCAGGATGTTGACGCGGTAATAGTAGCGCAGAGCTCTGGACATCTTGTCGTAGTTCATGGATAGGTGGTTCTTCTGGATGCCCCACAACTTGGCCAGACCAGCGGGGTCCACAATCTTGAAGACGCCGGTGTCGCGGCTCTTCCAGGCAATGTAACTTGTGTACCTCTGAGCAGGGTCGTTCAGCAGTTGCTGCAGGAAGTCCCACAGAAGTCTACCATCTGTAAAGTAAATTACTTTTAAGAAAAAATTCTTCAACAATAATATGTTTTTCAATTATTTCATTTGGTTTGGCTTTTCAAATGTATGAAATTGCAGTACCAGTTATTTCAAACCTAGAATGCCTTCAGAATAGTTTATTTCTTGAGATTTTTAATAAAAATTTATTTAAAACTGATCTACAGGAAGTTATTGAAATATATGTTTAATGAGTAAAAACCTGTGTAATTTTAACATCAGAACATAAACCTGTGAATTTATACAACATTTATTTTGGCAAATTTAAACTAGAAATCTTAAAAATCTGGCCTACAAATTATTATTTATTTCTATGAAATGGAAAAATTTGAATAATTACTTGTGTTGGGCTCAGGCGTGGGGGAAGCGTCACTGGGGAAGAACTCCCTGGCGCCTCTGAAGCCCGGGCTGAGTCCGGGGCTGAAGGGCAGTGTGGGTGTGGTGGGGGACAGCGTGGACTCCTTGGGGGAGAGCGGGGGTGGGACGGAGACGGCCGGGGGTCTTCTGCTGTCGGGGGAGCGCCTGGGGCTGGAGCTCTCACGGTACGTCTCCTCTTCGGACTCGTTGTCTGAGTTTCTGTAGAGGAAGTGCGTGGCGGCGGCCGTTTGCTGCTCGGCGGCGGCCGTGTGGTGCTGTGGCGAGCCCTGCTGGCTGTCGGTGGAGGGCGCCGGGCTCAGGGTGACCGAGTTGCCGGCCTGCGCCAGGTGGCCCTGCAGCGAGTGCAGGTCCAGTTGCCACGGGCCGTACGCCAGCCGGGCCGTCGGCGTCACCGGACTTGAGGGCAGCGCCCGCACGGCGGCGGCGCACGCGGCCGCCACAGCCTGGTTCTGCGCCTCTTTGCTCAGCATGTGCAGCACGTTGTGCAGGACGTCGCCGGCGCCAGGCGCACGTTCATTCAGGTCTGTTTTCGTGAGGAGGCACAACGCCTTGCCTGAAATCAACAACATTTAATTAAATTATATTCATGTTCAAACACAAATATTAGAGTTTTTCAATTATTAGTCCATGTATTAATTTCTAATTAAGTAATTAGCATTTTTAATGAAATGTGACCATCATTTTCTTCTTGCTAATTGCCAACAACAAAGATTTAAAAAATATTAAAAATCCCCCTTTTTTAAATTCCAACAATACCATCAAAAATTTCATAATTCCAAAGACTAAATCCACTAAATCAGTTGCATTTTCAAGTGCATATCTTTTCATTACAACAATTCTAAAGAAAATATATGAAGTTTGCAATTGCACTATTTTTTTATTCATCATTATCTTCCAATTTAAAAACTGCATAATTTTTTTATACTTTTTCATGAATCAAAAGTCAATTAAAAAACTATTGGTGTCCAAATTCGAACACAATTTGATAACTTAAAACAAGACTTCTAATGCAAATTTCCGAGTAAAGAATCAGATAACCAGATTCAAAATCATGTTAAAATTGTTTCCCACTGAAAATCATCAATTTAAAAAAAAAAAAAAAAATTATTGCAAATTACAAAATAAAACCAGCTTTATAAAATTCACGATTCTTTTAACTTGTGCTCAACTGTTGTGAGAACTCTCAACTCAAGCGGGTTCAAAACGCCGAACAAATTAAATTTTGAAAACATGGTGTGAAGCCTGTCTGCTTAATTATGACTTTCCGAGTGAGGGCTGTTGCCATAAAACTCGTGTGTGTAGGAAAACAATTTCTCTCTCGCGCGCCTATGACGTAAGTGGCGTTGTTATTGAGCCATAAATTAACTCTCAAGAGAGACGTATTTATATAAACGCGTTTTCGAAAAAACTCACCATTCATCTGGAAGGTGTCGGCGTCGAACCTGGGCAGGTCGAACTCGCGCTCGCACCACCTGAGGAAGGCGAGCACGTCTTCGCGCGACCAGTGGCGCGGGTCGGAGGCCAAACTGGAAGGCAAATGCGTCTTGAGGTCGAGGCTGGGCTGCTGTGAGGACGACCCATTGAACTGGGACTGTTGCTGGTTCTGCTGGCCACCGGGGAAGGACAGGGGGTAGCGCCACAGCAGGTCGGGCGAGAAGGGCAGGGGCAGTGGGATGCGGTCCATCACGGCGGCAGATGGGAGCTGCAGACACGACGGGGGCAGTACTTTCATCTGCAACACAAAAAGCCGCAATCAAAATCAAAATTCTCCTGAATAAGCAAAACGTTTGAAACGGTTTAATTTAATAAAATTTCCAAAAATTTTAATCGTATTATTTCTCCGAGTGCAATTTTTGCTAACTTCTGAAATTCAAAAAGTTACAATCTTGATCAGGAAATCAATAGAGGATCAAATTTTTTAGTTAGTCCTTGTTTTTAAATTACTCTGTTAAAACAGCCAGCAAATGATAAAATTAACCGTTTTCGGCCTATGAAGAGATTAAAATATGATTTTCAATATTTGCCGCATTGATCGTTTTCTCCTTTTGTAAATTTGTGTCATTTTGATCGCAAAGCCATTAGCAATCCAAATGCTTTTTGCTTTAAATTGCCAACTTGAACGGGGGTGCGAGTCACCTTAACCTTGACAATATCTCCAATTTATTCCGAAGTTTGGTAACGACTTTGCATAACGTCCCGCAGAGGTGTCCTATCCGGTCGCTTTGCGCTCGCTGCTTTGCATTTGATTTTTTTTACGTTCCGGAAGAAAAAGCGATCGGAAAAAAGGCATCGGAGAAAGAGCGCTTCCTGGTGCTGATAAATGAGGCGTCGGATTGGAGAACGCCCTCACCCGACCCCGGAAGAGTTTCTCTTTGGCGTCTGCAGCAGTTTAAGAGTGTGGAGGTCACACACACATCACCATAGGCGCTCGCGAGCGCGCGTGTTCAGGAAGGCCGCGGGCTCTGCCTTGCTACACAGCGCGGTGCTCTTTCTCCCGCCGCCGCATTATTGTAACACATCCTACGAATCCGTTTCGCGAAATCTGCTTCCTGATCGCGCGAAAAGTAGTGACCATCACTAGGAAGTGCACAGCGCTTGCCAAAACGCGACGGGCAGATGAGTTTCCTCTTTTTTTTAGCAAAGGACCTCCATTACATCTTCCTGGTTTGAGAAAAATTACAACAACTCGAAAGGGAGGAAATTAATATAATTATATAATTAATATATTAATAAAAAAGGAAATATAAATGAATCTCTCGAAAGTTTCTTACAACAATAAAAAAAAATTGCATATTTGTTTGCATGTTTTCCATTTTCCTTTAAAAATATATGTTCTATGTTCTTAATAGTTATTTTATTTAAAAAAAAAAAATCAAATTGAAAAGGCAAAATAAAAAGTTTTCAAATAATTATAATTATTTATAATCATGTTTAATATTTTAATTATTAAAATTTAATTTTAATTTTTTATCTTGGCATATTCAATTTTATTGTTTTTCTTTAATGGTTTTGCATTATTTTTTGCTAAAACCTCAATTTCCTCTTGATTCTCACTGGCAAAAACCAGCTTCCGTTTGACTTTCGACTCATCACTCGGCCTTTTATTTCCGATCACGCCATTTTTTCGCTCTCCCATTCTTTTTCTCCACCAGCGGCGCAGAACAATGCCGGGCGAAGCTCTTCTTCTGGTCAAAAGCTAGGCAGGGCAGAATAAATTTCGGCGCAGGGCGAAGGCACAAGTGCGGAACTGGAGGCGGTCGAGTATTAAATAAGCGACACGGAAATGAATCTCTCACAATTGTTGAGCGCCGCGCTGAGAAAGCATTGTTCGCCGCGGAGAAAAACGCGCGCGGCTCCCTATGGGAAGGTAAAGGTCAAAGTGAAGTGTGCGGAAATCCGGGCTGAGAATGCTTTACAAACGCACACCTTGCTTTAAATGGCTCATCGTCTATAAAAAAAAACAATGCAGGCGGGAGGGTTGCCATTTAAAAGGGGAAATAAATCTGTATTTAAAAATATACCAAACTGAGAAAGAATTTAATTTGCAAAATAAAATAAATGTTAAAATTAAGTTTCTATTCTAATTTTAATTTATTGAATATTAAAAAATTAAGTTTTGATATCTGATTAAAATTTTAAATAAAATAAAACTCAATTTAAATAAATAATAAAATTAATTTACTTTTAAAGTGATAAATTTAAAATTTTATATTCTTCTGTTCAGAAAATTTTCAAAAAATGAATTTTTCCAAATTGAAGAGTAAATTGTTGCAATTGGCAATGGAAATTAATGAATTTGAGGCCGTTCATGGTGTGTGTGTTTTCGCCGAGCGCCCTTCTTTATCTTATCGCAGGCCCTGCCCTCGGTCTGCTACTGAGAACATCACTTGATGTAAATTTTCGAGCTTATCACGCGCGCGCGACGACCGACGCATATATTCAGCCCTTTCTTTCTCTCGCTCGTTTTCCTGCTTGCTGCGTCAACTCGATATGCAAATAAATAAATATATATAGAGATAGTGCAGGTCGTCGCTGCGGCTTAGGAAATGGGAAGTACGTCGGAACCGCACGGCTCATCACTTTTCGCGGCCATTGTCTTGTTTTGCGCCGTGTTTTGTCAACCGAGAAAGCTTCCTGAAACAACTTTGCTAACCAGGGCCAAATAATATAATTTAGATTAAAATTAGGAAATAAGTTAACGCCAGATTATAGTAAAAATTTAATTTTAACTTTTCTTATATCCAATTTCCTTGATATCTCTGTCAATTCTAGTTGAAATTTATCTTTATAAAGTCTGGACATATATTTTTGCACGACAGCAATTTTTTTTTAACATTTTCATGGCGTTACTTAAAATTTGATTAATGAAGACTCACTTGATATGTAAATTTTCATTTAAATCTGATCCGAATCTAAAAAAATTTCCAGATCCGTGACAAATAAAAATTTCCCTGTTCTCTCGACCCAGACTTTTATACTGATAAGAAAAAATAACGCTCTTCCTGCCTATCAGCTAGATAGGCTGCCGATTTGTCCGGAAGATTATAATTATCAACTGACGCCTGCAGTCTTGACAAAGTCCGAAAAGAAGATTTCAAGCGAAACGCAATAATATGCTGTTGTCCACGATTCAACAATGCAACCGAATTACTTTATTATTTATTATTCTCGATCATCGGCAAGGAGGTCAGTGACTTGAGTGTCACGTTGTTTGGTCACCAAAAGGCGGCGGCGGCGGCTGGGCGATGGAGGAAGAAAAAATCTCGCGGGAAGGGGAAGGCCAAGGTCTCGTTTTTTGCGTGCGACGCCCAGCGGGAGTCTGTGCAAGCTCCGAGATTCATCTTTTGCGCCCGACAGCGTCGAAAATTTATATACGCCGAGACGACTTTTGTTTTATTTTCCTGCACAGCCCGAGCCAGTTTGCCTCCGCCGCCCAATTTATAATTCGCCACCAGTCAGACCGGCCGCAGGAAGGTTTGCAAAATTTGCACGCAGTAAAAAGATGAAGCGGAATTTTTCTTAAAGGGAAGACATCGATTTGTATGAAAATTGTGAGAGTACTTTGGAGAAAAAAAAGTTATGATGTTTCTCTAAAAAAAAGACAATTTGACATTTGCGACCACTTTTTGTAAAAAAAAAACCTTAATACCAAATCTTCAAGCAACGATTAAACAAAATATTAAATAGTTAATATTGTATTATTAATTTTTTTTAAGTTCATGACATTGTAATCTTTCCTTCAGCTAAATAATTCAATCCAAATTAATTTGATATTTTTATAAATTGAAATTTCTCCCTTCAAAAAGTTAAGGATTAATTTTCAAAATAAAAAAAACCCTGAAAAAATTAACTAACAGTCTAAAACTCTGCTTCTCTACTTTGATTGGTTGAAATTAATTTAATTTCAAGTTGGAGTTTGAACTCAGTATTGCTGATCGCGGCCAGAAAGAGAAAAGTCCAAGTCTGACGATTCGGTTAATTGGACGCCAGTTGACCTTTTCGACCGCGGCTGCCTCTTCGATTGCTACGGCAGGTCATGTTCCTTTTTATTACAAAATTTTCCTCGCACAAGGAAGTGGTTGCACCTATAGCAGCAGCGATTTCACAACAAGTGCTTACACAAAAGTCGGAATGCGCGATTATTGAAAAACAAGCAACAAGAAGTAGTGTCACCTGCCTGTCGCGTTTCTATTATCGCGGCGCCGACCGGAACTGACTCAGATTGCATTAATTGCGAAAAAAATGTAGAGCGTATTTTTCCGATTCATTCTCGCGCAGCAACAGGTGCGAATCTCATCCGGAAGGATTGTTATTCGGCGGCGAGTGTGAAAAATAAAGAAGAGCCTGATTATCGCACCAGTGCTAATTTAATTTGGAGCGATGTGGACAAATTACGTACACTGCGGAAGAGTGATGAAATAATTTAATTATGGGAAGTTTGCGAAGTAAAAAATGATGACGTTTCAAAATCAACATGGTTAATTTTGTTACATAGTTTTGAAGAGAAATAGTAATGTGGTGGAAAGGAAAGGATTTTTAATTTTCGCCGAAGTTGACTCCGAAAATTTGTAATTTGTATTTAAACTAAGTGAAACATACAAAAAATAATTTTTTTTAGCAAAATCTGCCTAAAATTGGGACTTACAAACAACTTTATGAGACCCTGTTTTACTTTTTTTTAAATAAAAATTCATATAAACTAAACCAAATTATTATTCAGTGCTAAAAACCCACCCTTTTTTGAACAAAATTTATTGATTTGAATATAAATGGAATAATTTATATTCAATTGAAGAATCACTTGTTGTTGAATTACTTCCTTGAGACTGGTTCTTTCTGGCTTTGGCTGTGAAATAGATTTCGAAACGATTGCCCTTTCGTGTTGTGTTGGGTGGGTGGTTTACTTCCGGCTGCTGGTTTTCCCCATCAGCAAAATATTATTATTTAGGAAACAATTTTGTCTTATAAATATAATTATTTTAGTCTTTAAAAACTTTCAGAATTCTAAAGGCGCGCAGGGAAAGAGGAAACCGCGACATTCTTCCTCATTTATACGATTTCTCATCATTATATTTCCGTTCGCTTCGCATTATTTTCTCTCCACAACTCGGGGCAGTGCAGGGGGAAGAAGAAGAAAAATCTGTGAGCAAGCAACAGGTGCTGCACCTTTTCCTCGGCGCGTCTCTCTCCTCCCGCGCCACCCCCCGAGATCAGATTTTTTTGGTACTCACA